TATATATATATCACAAAAAAAAGAAATAATGAAAATAAAAGAAAAGCATACCAGTAGTTTACTTAAAGTAAGTCATTGTTCTTAGACTTAGAATAGTTACAGTAAACAATTTATCAAATATTTATGTTACATCATTGAAATCCTGCATTTTTGCTTTGTACTCACATTTCTGATAGGTGTGATATTGGCTTAAAGGAAATGTAATATTCATAAATAAGAGTTTAGCAGATACAGAATGTTACTGAGATAACTACTAGAGCAGGAATGCACATGAGTGTAGAAACGCTAGGTCTCTAATATTGTAAGCACATCACTGGGATATTTCACTGCAGCTATCACAGATTTCTATGACTTACCATAAGGTAAAAGCTAACTGTGCGCTGTGCATCACCTTCTGCAGCTGACATTCTATGTGCAGGGTCGTTGTGCCTCTGACACACTCCTATCACTTCCTTTCATGAGAGAATCTCTTCCTGTGAATTGCATTGACTCTTTTATTGATATAAAATAAGAGCAGAAACCTTTCAACAAAGCTTTGCTGTGGAACAGTAGGCCATGGACATTGCTCAGAGCAATCATTCTGTAATTCCACCAGAGCACAAAAATATTTCTGCGATAAGCCAGGTAAAGTTGATGCTCTTGTATGGAGATTTTGTTTAAACTTGCCATTTCTTCTACATTTCTGGTAAAAATTTCAGTATTTAATGCCCATGTATAATGATGTTTCTGAATTTCCTATATACACTGTTAAGTTCTTTACCTGAATTCCTTGCTAAATATAAGAACTAAGAGCGAGAAAAGGTGTTATTACTTAGGGCTGTTTTAACAGCTCTCCAATTTCATAACTTGTCATTTCCCTTTTCTTCGATTTAGAAATGTGTGACACTCCTGGAATTTTCTGTATTTGGTCTATGCAAAAATAGCATAATTAGAAAAGAAATGTATTTTCACACTGGCTGAGAATTCAGACTTGGGACTGGATGGGTGGCCCAGCAGCTCAAGCACTTACTGCTCTGACAAAGGACCAGGGTTCGGTTTCCAGAACACATGGGTCATCTTAAAACAGTTCACTATTCCAGGTCCAGGGGATCACGTGCTCCTTTCTGGCCTCCATGAGCAGTGTGCCCATGTGATGCACAGACTTACACGCATGCAGACATCCATACACATGAAATAAAAAATACGGAAATCAGACTCAGCCCCATGTGGATCATGATCTCAGCTGAGTCCCTAGTTTAAGTTTGTACGCATTCACACTCCTGGCACATGAATGCATTCACTTCTAACGTGGGAATAGCGTTTACATATCTGGACCTAGAGTTGTTGTGATGCTTGAAAATTAATAAAGCTAGGAGTGCGAGACAGTGACTGCAGGGTAGTGAGTTCTGTGGACTTCATCGTCGCGACTGTTGAAAGGATGAGAGCACGTTTGTCTGCTAAGTCATTCCAGCTAGCTGCTGTTATTAAGGATTTAATGTTGTTATTCCTGTTCTGTTGTTGTTTGATTTGAGACGCAGTTTGGCCTTGAACTTACTGTGTTGCTGAGGGTCAACTTGAAATGCTGTTCTTCCTGCTGGCAGCTGTGGAATGCTGGGACGAGAGCTGTGTACACAGTGCCTGCTTAGACTGGCTTTTGATCTGCCTGTGTGGTGCAGCATTGCTCATGCTTGACAGAATGATAGAGCTTTTCTGCTAGTTCTTAGAATGATGCAGCCACCCCAGGACTATGGGATAAAGAGATCCAGTGGTACCTGGTGGACATTTTGAGAGTCTTCATTTTTGTCCTGAGGCTTCTGGTTAAATATTATATATGCAAATTTGCAAAGATTTATCAGAAATGAGAAAATCAATAGATTTCATATGCAATATTTTTTAGTGTAATTCTCCATAGTAGGGATGGTAAGTGTTCTGGGTTATAGCCTAAAGGTAAGAAAAAAGAATGGCTAACTAACACACATATTAGATGCTTCTGATTCTGAAAAGTTGTAAATTAGCTGAGTACTGTATAGGGAAAAGGGAAGCGGTCATTTTATTCACCTCTAATGTGCTGCACATTTTGATAACAAAAGATGCCCAGTTACTGTGTCCTTGGGTCCTTTTGGCTTAGCTGAGCCTCCAGTTGTCTGAGGGAGCCTCGTTTGAGGGATTGTTCAGATCAGGCTGGCCTCTGGCAAAGTCTGTGAGATGGTCTTGGTTGACGACTAAAGTTATTTTCTAGTACCAGTCCTGTGCTGGGTATGAAAGCCACTGAGCATGAGCCAGAACGAGTCAGCAGCAAGCAGCATCTCTCCATAGCTATTGTTTGAGACCCTGCCTTTATTTCCCTCAGCAATGGACTATAACCTGGAAACCTAAGACAGATAAACCTTTTCCTTCCCAAGTTCTGTCCCAGAATGGTTTATCACAGCCACAGGAAGCACAGTAGCGCATATCTCAAAAGGTCTCTGATAAACCTCTCTTGTTCCTATGTTTTGCTGCTGTGCTTTCTTTGATTTTCTTTGTCTTTTTGATAAGTGAGCTGAGGGTGACTCTGAAGGTGATAACGTGAAAAAGTAAAAGTAAAACCAGGAGCCGACAGGTTGCATAGGAGTTTCTGGTGAGATCACCAGGAATTGTAGCTTTCAGATGAGAAAGGTGACAGCCTTAAGTGTTAGCAATTGTGATGGAATTGTTGACTTTTTAATATTCATTTCAGTGTGTGTGTGTGTGTGTGTGTGTGTGTGTGTGTGTGTGTGTGTGTGTGTGTGTGTGTGCAGCACCTGAGGCACCATGTCACTGGTGCTGAGAACCTAACCTGGGTCCTCTACAAGGACAGTGAGGCTTCTTAAGCACTGAACCATCTCTCCAGTCCTGTGCTGGACTCCAGCAGACTCCGGGCTGAGGGCTTCCTCCCAGTGCATGTCAGTCTTTCCCGTCTTTCTACCATGCCTCGGAAACAGCTAAAATGTTGGTAAAGGCAAGAAAGAGGTTGCACTGTGTGGCCGTATCCACAGCCAGGGAAGAGGCAGAGCTGAGGGGGAGCCAGGGCTTTCTTTTGGGCTTACTTCATTGGTTTGGAAAGAACCCAGCTTATTTTAGGAATTTCTCATAGAAGCATGTCCTCATAATTCTATATTTTTTCTCTAATGAATTGAATCTTAAATTATAGCATGGTGGAGCATATGCTATAGAAAAAGGGGATCAGTACAAGAGAAAATGATTAAGAGGATAAAAATAACCCAAGGCAATAATATTAATTTAGACACATTTTACCTGAATATTATTAACAATATGAACTTGTCAGATTTTCAAAGTAATAACCTTTTTTTTTCTGGGAAAATGTTCATTTCATATATGGTAGTGATTGCTAAAAAATAGACTATTTGTTTTTCATCAAGTTTCTGGATAATTTACATTGACAGATTTAAAATTTCTTCATCATTTTTTTTTTTAATTCAGTTGTCCTGTCTCACTTGTATATAAAGGGAGCAAGATGAAGTAATTCCCTTCGGACCTGCACACGGTCTGAGCTGGCTGCAGTCTTTGCCATCTCTGTTCACCTCAGGGGGCTTCCGTGGATATCCTTTCCAGAAGCTTGCATCCTTGCTGAGTGCTCAGTCAAGCTTTGGGTGCTAGACCTGTTGCTGGTGTGTTAGAGTCAGGTGAGACCCTAACTTTGGCTACTTTCTTCAAGAGGACAGGGCTAAACTTGAATGACAGGAGTGTTTCTGTAAGGAAATTTTAAAACAAAAAGAAGTCTTAAATTTAGGGTTGAATTAGATGAATTTAACCTTCCTCTTACTGTTTGATGAACAATACAGATAATTTAATAAATTCCTGATTTTTATAATGCTAGAAAGTAACTTCAGATGATGGCTAGATAAGGGACTGACCTCTGGGTGTAGCAGAATACTGGCTAGGTATCATTTTATTGGTCCTTCCTTTCTTCCCTCCTTCCTTATTTATTGATTGATTTGTTTGTTTGTTTGCTTGTTCGCTTATTTACTTATAGAACAGTAGTGTTTGATTTCACCCTAGGTTTCTGGGCTATCTAGCCTCTGGTTCTTGCTTACCCAAGCAGTGTCAGTTGTGGGTTCCTTCTCATGGAGTAGGCCTTAAGTCAAATCAATCAAAACCAGACATTGATTGGCTACTCCTGCAAGTTCTGTACCACTATTGCCTTATCACATTATGCAGGCAGGACAGATCGTAGGTCAGAGGTTTTGTGGCTGGGTTGGTGTCCATGTTTCTCTTTTAGTAGCCCAAAGAATACCTTCCCACACCAAAGAGGCTAGAACACAAGTGTGAGGGCTTACTGTAGTCACCAGCTTGCCTTCTCCATACTCAGTGAGTTGTGTGGGTGTTGTCCTTGGCAATGGAGCCCTACTGTCTGTTTAGCAACATTTTGTCTTAGCAACAGTGTGTGTTGTTTACGGAATTCCATGGGATCCCATTGGCCAACAACTCAACTGAATGCGATCCAGTCCCACCACTGGAAGCCTTGGCTGACAACAAGAAATGGACAGTTGAGACTGTATCCCCCATTAGTAAGAGTCCTCATTAGGATCATCTTCATAGATTCAAGGAAGTTTCCATTGCACTGTGTTTCCACACAAGCTTCCTCCAGCAGCAGATGGGAACAGATGCAGTGACCCACAGCCAGGCATTTTGTGGAGAGACAGTCTAAATTGGAGATTTCCTACAAAACTCCCCCTTGGAGCTTACAGGATACAGTGGAAGAGGAGGTGTACAGATTATAAGAGTCAGAGCATACAGGGGGTCACCAGGAGAACAAGGCCCTCTGAATCAAGTAAGCGAGGCTCATATGAGCTCACAGAGACTGAAGCAGCAAGCACGGGGCCTACATGGGTCTACACAAGGTCCTCTGCATATACAGTATAGCTATTTATGCTTTTATGGGACTCCTGACTGTGAGAACAAATGGATCGCTGACTTTGGTGCCTGCTCCTGGGGCTCTTTTCCTCCTGTTGGGTCATTGTGTCCAAATTTGATATGGTAGTTTTTGCTTCATCTCATTATATCTCCTTTTGTCATGTTTGGTTGTTATTTCCTAGAAGCCTGTTCTTTCCTAATGAGAGACAGAAAGGAGAGTGGTTCCCGAGTGAAGAGGAGGTTGGAGGAACTGGGGAAGTAGAGGAGGGCAAACTATAATCGGGGAAGAGAATCATTTTCAATAAAAGGAAAAATAAAAGTAAATTTAGATCCTAAAAATAAAATAACTTCAAAATTAAACTCCAAATTAAAAAAAAAAATCCTGATGAAGAACTTGAAGTTTTGTGTTCCTGTTTCTTCAGCACATTCTGTCCCAGAGTTTACATCAGCAATTCTCACACTTGAGTAAACCCCATTGGCTGTGCTAAGTGCCACTGCACAAAGCTATTTCTACTTCTGTTATTCTAACATGCTACAGCTTCCAAAAGTCTTTCTTAATCTCTAAAGTATATTATATTATCAACCCTTCTCCCCAAACCCTTATGTATACCACACACCACACAGCTTCCTCGTATTGTACTATCTATCTATTATCTATCTATCTATCTATCTATCTATCTATCTATCTATCTATCTATCTATCTATCATCTATCTATCTATTATCTATCATCTATCTATCTACTATCTATCACCTCTCTATCTATCATCTATCTATCTATCTATCTATCTATCTATCTATCTATCTATCTACTATCTATCTATCACCTCTCTATCATCTATCTATCTATCTATCTATCTATCTATCTATCTAAAACTAAGACTTGAGATAGATGCTACTAATATTTTATAGCATATATTTTCATTTCTTTATTCTAATCATCACCAAAATTAATAAAAACAATTAAAAGATGAAATGAATATATATTATTTGTATGTATATTCTATTTTATGAATTTATTTTGTTTTTGTTCAACCAGTAGTTTTGATGATTCTATAATATACCAGATTTTTAAGAAGAACTGTGTGACCAGACTATGTATATGATTTAGCAACTTGCTATTTTTTATCATTTCCCTATATAATAAAATATTCCCCAGCATATTTTTCTATCTATTTTGATTATATATAATTATAAGCAAATCTTAAATTCTCTCTACGTAATTGTATCGTAACATGTTGTCTAGACTAGAGTTTTACAAGTAAGTCTTCCCAGGGTAGATGACATGATGAGTTCTGTGTGTAAAGGTCTGGGTCTGTACTTGGATTGCCTGTGTTTGTCTGTGTGGATATACATTATTTTTACTTCTGCCAATCCATTTGGACCCTGATTTCATGCTACTTATTGAGTAATGTCTAGACGAATGGCGTTGGAAGGGATACTGCTGCACTAAAGGAGCTTGAGCCTTTCAGAGAGAAAACAAAGAGCCAAAGCTACAGGATTGTTAACCATCGTGGTAATCGTGAGCCCAAGTGAGATCTAATCTATTGATAAAAGCTTGCAATGCTGTGGTTTCTAATTTCCTGCCCAACGTGTATAAACACAATTAGATTAAATTCTCACAACAAGTGCTTACTTGTTATGAAACTGAGACACTTACAAGTCATAGATTCAAGGCCAGGCTACGGAATAGCACACCTCATGCCTCCCTTTCCTCTCCCTGCAGCTCAGAGCTCAACCCTTGGTCTAGGGATAGGGATGTTATTTTTGCTTGAATAACATTGCTTGCACAGTAAACTGTTGAGAATTAACATAGATGATGTATGTGTTCCTGGATCTTTAAATTGTTTGTAATACAATAATAAACAATAAGCAGATTTCTTTAAACAATTTATATTAACTTTAAAATATACTGCTAGTGACTCTAGACTAGAAAAATCCCTGGAAAATACACATATACATCAGAATTCAAGCTGGAATATCTAACCTTTACCTCCTTACTTTGATATGAGTAACCAGAGCTGGGACATTCTTGGTCCTGTGAGCAATCTTTGAGAACAAACCTCAAAATCAGCAGTGACTGACATCTAAGGGTTGCTGGAACACACACAGCGTTATCTAGAACAATGGTAACTCCAGTATTAGTGACTGGGATGTGGGAGACACCATTCAAATGCATCAGTAATCTTAAATGGTGTTAATGTATTGAGATGAAGATTTATGTGCAGTATAAACTCTGTATGTAGTATAAACAGTGCCACCATCTGTGGCAGGTTCGGTTTCCAGATAACCACACTGTCAATTACCCCATTCCTTCTCAGTGTAGCTTCGCACCTTCCTCCTCAACAGTGTTCTTTTTCTCTGCCCCTTCAGTGTAGAGGGGCCTCACCAATGCAACTGTAGTCAGTAGAATGTGCCAAGTGTCTTCCAGGGTGAGTTCAGGAGACTTGTGGCTTCTTACCTGGTTTTTTTTTCCGTGTGTGTGTGTGTGTGTGTGTGTGTGTGTGTGTGTGTGTGTGTGTGTGTGTGTGTGTTGTTTTGGTGTCTTGGAACCTTCCCTTTGAATATTTCTTTTTGGAGCTGCTGTGATGCCAGATATGCTGGCTCTCTCTCTCTCCAGTTGATACATCCAACTTGCTCTAATCTCAAGTTCTCCCATTGTGGACTTGTGGGTGAAGCTCTTGTTTAAGGAAAAAGCAGTCTTTGCTGACCACAGTTATGTACTGTGCAGAGATGGTGAGGCTCACCAATTGCTCTTCCTTCTTCCCCACATTTCTTGGGCTGCTTCAAGTTTGTAGGGGTTAAGTACTGAATCCTGAAGACTGGCACTAGATGTGATCAGTTTTGAGTGTCTCCAGTAGCAGAGAAGATCGGATATGGTGAAATGGTGAAATTTTAGATATAACTTGAAATAGCCCAGGTTATCAGGTTTTCTAAGAAATCTTGCATGTTTCTAAACTGTTGTGACTTTTGCACATACTAGGGACTTGGTCAGAAGTAAACTAAATTATTTTTGTTCATAAAATTTCAACTCCCCACAATTTCATTCAGTTTTAATGCTACCTATTCATGAAATGTTTCCTGACAATGTCACCAAATACCGGTCCTTTCTCTTGTAAAACTTTGGTTGCAATTTGTGTCCCTTTATCTGTGCTCTTCCACAGGACTGTATTCCTCACACCATCTAGAATTTAGTCTAGCACACAATGAGCACTCAGTCAATACCTACTGAATTTAACACAGTTAGACATGGCACTGTGCACTGAGCATGCACCTCTCCCCATGAGTGCAGGACAGACCTAAACACAGGACACAGTTCGATACAACGGTATCTAACAATGGGCTTCCTTCCCTCCGCTGTCCTTTGACATTGCTCTTGGGCAGCGAAGCCTGTATCAAAGCTGTTACCAAATGTGGAGTGAAAACAGATCTAAACTATGGCCTTGCTTTAATAACACAATAACGCCATGAAATTTTACATTTATGAATCTAAGTTGCCTTCATAATTGTGATCAATTATTTATTGATTTAATATTAATAATGGTTTTAAATCAACAAGTTTAACCTCTAGGTACATAGATTATTATAGAGCAAGGAGAAAGATGAATTTAGCTATGTAAATTATTCACTCTGATTTTAAAATCCAATAAATCTTGAAAATTAAAATATACTAGCATTTAGTATAAACCAAATATAATGCAAGACTCAAAAGTTTCTAACTCCTGGGCTTACAATATTTTATTACATGTATTTGTGTGTGGTTGGGTGGGCACGCCTGTAAAGGTCAGAGGTGAGTTGGCCTAGTCACTTCTCCCCTTCCATGTAAAGGATGGTGGACAACTTTATGGAGTCAGTTCTCTCCTACCCTTATGCAGGTTCTGGGAACCAAACTTGGGTCTTCAGGCTTGTACACCAAGTGCATGTATTTACCCATAGAACCATCAAATGCTATTTAGTTTCTCGGTCTTACTATGCTGCCTAAGACTCTCGGGCTCTAGTGATCTTGTATCAGCTACACAAGCAGCTGAGACTATAGACATGTAGCCCATGCCCTGCCCACAGTTGTTTATTATGTTATTACTACTACTACTGCAGCATATAGCAATGGACAAATGAAAAAGGCCGTAGGATTTCTACTCTTGCCTCTGCTCTGGTTGCATAGCTGGCTGTCATTAATTAATTAATTAATTAATTAATTAATTGTATTATATCAGCTAACATTGATTATTGCTTACTGTGTGCCAGTGCCTTTTTGCATAGTTTTCACAGATTCTAGTCTCACAACTACCTTAAGAAATAAGTAGTGTTATCCTTGTCTCATACATGAAGAATTTTTGACACAAGTATTAAGGATAAATAATTTGCGCAAGGTAAAAAGGTAGTAAATAGTGTGCACTAATCACAGGATTCCGGCAGGTCTCCAGGGCAGCCCCCGGACTGGGCCTCAAAGAACTCTGAAGCCCACAGAGCTGTTCCTGAGTCACCTTTGCAAATCAGCCATTCCAGGAAAAATTGCAAAAGTCTCTTCCACACCTCCTCTTCAGTAATGAAAAGCTAATGGTCCATCTAATTATAGTTTTCCAAGATAATGTGAAGCCAAGCAAGGTGAGATAATAATAAAGGAAGGATGTCATGATGCA